GTCACTAACTTGGTGAAGGAAATGGACATAAAACCCCAGGAAGCTCAGAGAATTCCAAAAATAAGGGATCCAAAGAGGCCCACACAAAGACACTTTATAATTAAAATGCCAAAGGTTAAATACAAAGAAAGAATATTAAAAGCAGCAAGAGAAAAATAAATTACATATAACATAACACCTATAAGTCTGGCAGCTGATTTCTTAGAAGAAACTATGCAGGACAGAAGGGGTTCGCAAAAAATATTCGACAGGATAAAGACCCAGGATCTACAACCAAGAATAATTTATCCAGCAAGGCTATCATTTAGAATTGAAGGACAGATAAAGAGCTTCACAGACAAAAATAAGCTAAAGAAATTTATCACCAACAAACCAGTATTACAGGAAATGTTGGAGGGACTTTTTTCAAACAGGAATAAAGAATAGTAACAACTACATTCCTATCAATAAGTACCTTAAATGGAAAAGAATTAAGTGCTCCAACCAAAAGATAGAGTGCCTGAAAGGATAGGAAAACAAGACCCCTACATATGACAAGGAAGGGGATGGAAAAAGATATTGCTTTGATGGACTTAGAAGGTATTTAAGTCAGACAGAGAAAGATAAACACTATATGATTTCACTTATATGCAGAATCTAAAGACTGAATAAATAAATCAAAACAGACTCACAAATATAATGGACAATTTGATGACAGACAGAGGGGAAGGGGGTTGGGACTGGGAGAATGGGGTGAAGGGTTAAAGAAGTACAAATTCGTAGCTGATGGATGGTCACGGGGATAGAGAGCACAGCATAGGGAATGCAGTTAGCATTAATACATTGACTAGGTCGAGGGTCAGGGAAGGGAGGGAGTAATTGGGGGGATCATTTTACGAACTATATAGATGTCTAACCAATGTAGTGTATACTTGAAACTAATTAAATAAATAATTTTAAAAAAACTATAGGTAGTTCTATTAAAAAATTTAATAACAAAAATATTTATTTTGGAATTAGATACTTGTGATGGTTGCATGTTCTGTAATATACTAAAAGCACTAGATTGTATACTTTTTTCTGTTTTTAAATTTTTTAAATGAATTTAGGTGACATTGGTCAATATAATTATGTAAGTTTTAAGGGTACAATTCTGTAATATATCATCTGTATATTTCATTATGTGTTCACCACTGAAATTCAAGACTCTTTCTGTCATTATATATTTGACCCCCTTTACCCTCTTGTCCCTCTCCCAAACCATCTTCTCTTCCGGTGACCAATCAATATACTACTATCTGTGTCTATGAGTTTTTTGTTAGTTTTGTTTGTTCATTTGTTGCTTTCTGTTTTATATCCCACATATGAGCAAAATCATATGGTTCTTGACTTTTTCCATGTGACTATTTCACTTAGCATAATATTCTCAGATTCATGTTGTCATAAATGGTGGCATTTCATCTTTTCTTATTGCTGAGTAGTATTCTGTTGTATATATGTACCACATCTTTCTTCAATCACCTATCAAAGGACACTTTGTTTCCATGTCTTGGCCACCGTAAATAATGTTGCAATGAACATAGGGGTACATATATATTTATGAATAAATGTTTTCAGATTTTTCAGGTAGATACCCAGAAGAGGGTTTACTGGGTCATATGGTAGCATTATTCTTAATTTTTTGAGGAAACTTCATACTGATTTTTATAGTGGCTGTTTACATTCCCACCAGCAGTGTCTAAGGGTTCCTTTTTTCTCCACAGCCTCTCCAACACTTGTTATTTCTTGTCTTGTTGATGACAGCCATTCTGACAGGTGTGAGGTGGTATCTCATTGTGGTTTTGATTTGCATTTCTCTTATAGCTAGTGCAGTTGAGCATCTTTTCATATGTCTGTTGGCCATTTGTATGTCTTCTTAGGAGAAATGTCTGTTCAAGTCCTCTGCCCAATTTTTTAAATTGAATTTTTTGTTGTTGTTGAGTTGTATGAGTTCTTTATATATTTTGGATCTTAGTCACTTATTGGAGGTATTGCTTGCAAATACCTTCTCCCATTTGGTTCATTGCCTCTTTGTTCTGTTGATGTTTTCTTTTACTGTGCAGAAGCTTTTTAGTTTATATAGTCCCATCGATTTGTTTTTGCTTTGACTTCCCTTGCCTTTGAGGTCAAATTCATAAAATCTTCTCTAAGACCAAGGTTTTCTTCTGTGTATGTTTTCTTCTGTGTATTTTATTGTTTTATGTCTCACATTTAGATCTTTGATCCATTTTGAGTTCATTTTTGTGTCTAGTGTCAAATAGTAGTCTAGTTGCATTCTTTTGCACATGGCTTTCCAATTTTTCCAGCACCAGTTATTGAAGAGGATTTCTTTTCTCCATTGTATGTTTTTGCCTCTTGTCAAAAATTATTTCCCCATATATACGTGGGTTTATTTCTGGGCTCCCAATTCTGTTCCATTGGTCTGCATCTCTGTTTTTCTGTCAATACCATGCTATTTTGATTACTGTAGCTCTGTAGTATAATTTGAAGTCAAGGAGTATGATACTTCTGGCTTTGTTCTTTTTTCTCAGGATTGATTTAGCTATTCGTGGACTTTTTCTTTTGTGGTTTCATACAAATTCAAAGCAATTGTTCTTGAAGTTCAGTATCTAATGCACAGTTAAAGCAGTTTTTTATTTGTTGGTCATCATCAGTAAGTCACTATACCTGGGAGTAAAGTCTAATTCTGGAGAGATGGACTGTAAAACCACTTGCCTTGTTTCACATCCCAACCAATTAAGAGCTGTTCAATCTTGAGCAAGTTACTTAACCTGTTAAAGCCATTTTTTCTCATTTGTAGCATGGAGCCATAGTGCATTCATTATACCAACCACAACACATTGATATAAAAATTAAATGAATTGATGAATATAAAGCATTTGACAACTCTTAGCTGCTATTGTGTCCAATGATTATACATTATTCCCTTATTAAAATTATTTTAGTGTTTTGTTGGAAAAATACTAAAAAAACATCAAAAAATGTATTCTTTTTATTTTTTATTTTCTTTAATTTTATTTTCTTTATTTTTTAAAAGTTTATTGGGGTAACATTGGTTAATACAATTATATAATTTTCAGGTGTTCATTATAATTTGACATCTGCATATTCTATTGTGTGTTTACCATCCAAAGTCCAGTTTCCATCAGCTACCATATATTTGATCCACTTTACCCACTTCACCTTCCCCCTATGCCCCTAT